CCGTTAGGGATCGGCGAGTAGGGTGCCGTGCACAAATCAGATGGGACTCATTTTGCACGTGCGCACGTGCAGGACGACGCGTCCAGATCTCGAGAACGGCCGGGCCGACTGCACTCAAATTTGGCATACCGCTAGAGACCGGTTAGTAGGGTGCCTTGCACAAGTCAGTAAGTATGTATTTTCATGTGCCGCGGTTGGGGTGCAGCTGCACGTGCGCACGTGTAGGGGTCGTTTCCCGATCTTGGAAACGGCTGGGCCGATTCAGATTAAATTTGGTACATCGCTAGAAACCGGCGAATAGGTTGCCGTGCACAAGTCAATTGGGGCCCAGGCTGCACGTGCGCACGTGCAGGTGCCGCTTCGAGATCTCGAAAACGGCCGGGCCGATTGCACTCAAATTTGGCAAACCGCTAGAGACCGGCGAATAGGGTGCCGTGCACGTCAGTCCGTAGCACACCCACTCCGGTCTGCACGTGCAAGGCTCATCCTCTCGTTTGGCGGCGGGTATGGGCTCCCGCAGGCGATCTACTTGATGGCATCGGTCGCTACTCGCTAAGAAGTCTTTTGCGCGTGGCACGTGCGATTCCATTTTCCCCATGTTAAGTCAACGGGGTTTTGGACACTTTTTGCGCGATCGCGAATGGCGGGAAAACGAGCCAAGGAAGAGGTGGTTTTCTTCCCAGCATTTTATGGCAAACACGTTTGGGTACACGCCAGTGTGCGCTGTATACCCCTCAGAATCTCGGAATGTGTCTTTGCACGAGGTCAAAGTTGGAATTTTGCTGTGTCCCATGTTAAGTCAATGGACGGCGATGCCGAGACTTTGCAGAGACATTTTCATTCGTTCATTGTACAAAATTTTAGAGATAGAATTCGCCCAAACTCTTATATCTTGTAGAGAAAGGAGCATAGTACATGTTGGTATGCTTCGTTAAGCTGGCAGAAATCGTTTTTTCTAATAAAGTTCATTTGAAAATTAAAATTTTTAACATGGAAAGTCAATGGGAGCGTCTTTGTTGCTTAATAACTTTTTACGTTGCAGATATACCAAAGTGAAAAGTTAATAAAATATACAACTTTCGATGCTCTTTCCCACTGATGCATAGAACGTCACTGCACGATGTGCCGTTTTTAAGAAAAGTTGTAAAAAAGCACGACATTACCGAGATTTGAGCTCAGACCTATATCGTTACGGTGTCAGGCGGACACGAGGACAGGTGGCGCCGCCGCCGCCCGCATAGCGGCGGGAATGTGAACTAACCTGTTTACCATCTAGGGGTGTTCACGGGCACCGCACACTGCTGCGTGCGCTGTGTGCGGTGCGTCCAGCAGGCGTGGGGGTAGGGGATGGGTAGGCGGCTCTGACGTCACGGCTGCGTGCGGTGGACGGTCCGCTGTGGCCAGTCCCGACCGGCCATAGCGATCGCTGTGTGCGGTGACGGAAGGCTGACGTAGGGACGCAGTGGGCGGAGCTTGGAGGCTGTGTGCGGTCCGACCGCACACAGGATCTATGGTATGGTACCATCGGGGGACCGGCCGCCGTCGGCACCATTTCGGGACCTCGTGGCACGTGGCACGTGCGATTCCATTTTCCCCATGTTAAGTCAACGGGGTTTTGGACACTTTTTGCGCGATCGCGAATAGCGGAAAAAATCGCGGATCAAGGTATGGTTTGCTGCACACCATTTCATGGCCCACACATTCAGCTACACGCCCGTATGCGCCGTATACCCGTCAGAATTCGTTAACTTGAGTTGCACGAGTTTGAAGTTGAAGTTTTTTCGCTCCCCATGTTAAGTCAATGGACGTTTTTGCAGAGACATTTTCATTCGTTCATTGCACAAAATTATATGATACGATTTTGTTTAAACTGTCAGGACCTGTTGAGAAACGACCATAGAACATGTTGTTATGCTTCGTTAAGCTGTCAGAATTCGTTTGTTGTCTTTAGGCTTCTTTAAAAATGAAAAATTTTAACATGGTAAGTCAATGGGAGCGTCTTTGGTGCTTAATAACTTTGTACCTTGAAGATATATTTAAGTGAAAAGTTGATAGGTTATACAACTTTTGATGTTCTTTCCAATGATATATAGAACATTATTGCACGTTGTGCCGTTTTTGAGGAATTTAGTAAAAAAGCACGACATTACCGAGATTTGAGCTCAGACCTATATATGGCCTTGACTCAGACAGTATACGAACAGGTGACGGGGATACCTCCCATAGAAGGATGCGACACGAATTTAATGCTAAATATTAGCGGCCGGCCTCCGTGGGACGTTTTTGTACGACTTATATCTCCGCAACCAGGGGACCGATACACTTGCGGTTTTTTGTGTGGGGTAGCGTATACCCTTCTTACAAGTATTTTACTATGCACGATGCTTGCGGGTGACCCCTACTGCACGTGACAAGTGTAAAACGGAGAGGTGTCACTTTTGTTGTAATGACAGTACTTTTGTGCCATTGACTTTTGTGGCAATGGCAGGGCTCATTGCGCTGAAAGTTAACAAGGATGTAGGCACACACCGAACCATGCGTTTCCATGTGCTACGGTTGGGGTGCAACTGCACGTGCGCACGTGCAGGGTGACGCTTCCAGATCTCGAGAACGGCCGGGCCGATTGAGCTCAAATTTGGTACACCGCTACGATAGGCGTTATCACAAGTGTATTCGCGGCCATTGGGGCGACGTAAGAAAAGAAAAACAACTGGCCCCAAGAACTTTAAAGTATCAGTTAGCATGCACCTTTTCCTTGATCTGTAGAGAATTTACCATTAATTGCTAGAGAAAATTACATTTAAAATCTTCCATTTATGCTTTTTTCGTCGTTTGCACAATATGTTCTTTTACTAAGCTAGAAACACTACTTAGAAATAGTTCCCGCATCATCGTCAAGAACAATAGGGAAGGCTTGAAGAGAATACAATAATCTAAACGGTTTTGTAATCTATGTGAAGACACTTCTAAAATTGCCTGTAGAAATATTGAAGGCAAAAGTTTAACTTTTTCACAAGACGGATGTCTATAAACCTACTCAACGTGTGACAACTCAGCCGGTATTTCGTCGCCTACAGCCCAGCTTTCCCTAGTGACCGATAGAGGCGCTGCTATCGATGTCCGCCTGTGCCGCCTAACGAGAGACCGGTTAGTAGGGTGCCGTGCGCAAGTCAGTTAGGACCCATTTGGCACGTGCGCACGTGCAGGCTGACGCATCCAGATCTCGCGCACGTGTAGGGGTCGCATCAAGATCTTGGAAACGGCTGGGCCGATTCAGATTAAATTCGGTACACCGCCAGAGACCGGCGAATAGAGTGCCGTGCACAAGTCAATTGGGATCCAGGTAGCACGTGCGCACGTGCAGGGTGTCGTTTCGAGATCTCGAAAACGACCGGGCCGATTGCACTCAAATTTGGCACACCGCTAGAGACCGGTTAGTAGAGTGCAGTGCATGTCAGTTCGTAGCACACCCATTCCGGTCTGCACGTGCAAGGCTCCTCCTCTCGTTTGGCGGCGGGCGTTTTTGCGGCGTTACAGAGGTGCTTGCTCAAACAACCTGCGGTCCCGCGATGCGGAGCCCAGCATCGCAGATGCTGGTAACCGCAGGTTGTTTGAAAAGACAAACACTATTCGTTAGAATTGTGTTTTTCTATTGAAAAACAACCGGAGCGGTCGTTCTCCGGGCTATGTTTGCAAGTCTGGCAGCGAATTGGGGCAACTTGATTGGGGCCTAACTTGTGGCTCGATTTTCGTAAAAATTTCAGTGTATGGGCTCCCGCAGGCGATCTACCTGATGGCACCGGTCGCTACTCGCTTAAAACCTCGTGGCACGTGGCACGTACGATTCCATTTTCCCCATGTTAAGTCAACGGGGTTTTGGACACTTTTTGCGCGATCGCGAATAGCGGAAAAAATCGCGGAACAAGGTATGGTTTGCTGCACACCATTTTATGACCGACACGTTCAGGTACACGCCCGTGTGCGCCGTATACCCGTCAGAATTCGTTAACTTGAGATGCACGAGTTTGAAGTTGAACTTTTTTCGCTCCCCATGTTAAGTCAATGGGCGTTTTTGCAGAGACATTTTCATTCGTTCATTGTACAAAATTATATGATACGATTTTGTTTAACTTTCAGGACTTGTTGAGAAACGACCATAGAACATGTTGTTATGCTTGGTTAAGCTGTCAGAATTCGTTTGTTCTTTTTAAGCTCGTTTAAAAATGAAAAATTTTAACATGGAAAGTCAATGGGAGAGTCTTTGGTGCTTAATAACTTTGTACGTTGAAGATATATTTAATTGAAAAGTTGATAGGATATACAACTTTTGATGCTCTTTCCAATGATATATAGAGCGTTATTGCACGTTGTGCCGTTTTTGAGAAATTTAGTAAAAAAGCACGACTCTATCTAGATTTGAGCTCAGACCTATATATGGTCTTGGCTCAGACAGTATACGAACAGGTGACGGGGATACCTCTCATCGAAGGATGCGATTTAATGCTAAATATTAGCAGCCGACCGCCGTGGGGACGTTTTTGCAGGAGTTATATCTCCGCAACCACTGGACCGATTCACTTGCGGTTTTTTGTGTGGGGTAGCGTATACCCTTCTTAGAAGTATTTTACTATGGACGATGCATGCGGGTGACCCCTACTGCACGTGACACGTGTAAAACGGAGAGGTGTCACTTTTGTTGTAATGACAATACCACGGTAATTCCTGGGGAGATTCTGCTGAAACCACACAAGGATGGAGGCACCCGCCAGACCATGCCTTTCCATGTGCTACGGTTGGGGTGCAACTGCACGTGCGCACGTGCAGGGTGACGCTTCCAGATCTCGAGAACGGCCGGGCCGATTGTGCTCAGATTTGGCACACCGCTAGAGACCGCGCAGTAGGGTGCCTTGCACAGGTCAGCTGTGCCCCAGGTTGCACGTGCGCACGTGCAGGGTGACGCTTCCAGATCTCAGGAACGGCTGGGCCGATTGCATTCAGATTCGGCACACCTTTAGAGACCGGTTAGTAGGGTGCTGTGCACAAGTCAGTTAGTTTGTATTTCCGTGTGTCACGGTTGGGGTGCAACTGCACGTGCGGCCGTGTAGGGGTCGCTTCCAGATCTTGAAAATGGCAGGGCCGATTTAGCTCAAATTCGGTACACTTCTAGAAACCGGCAACTAGGGTGCCGTGCACAACACAATTGGGACCCAACTTGCACGTGCGCACGTGAAGGGTGCCGCTTCAAGATCTCGAAAACGGCCGGGCCGATTACACTCAAATTTGGCACACCACTGTAGACCGGCGAATAGGATGCCGTGCTTGTCAGTTTGTAGCACACCCACTCCGGTCTGCACGTGCAATGCTCGTTCTCTCGTTTGGCGGCGGGCGTTTTTGCTGCTTTCAATGGTGAGTGGGTCACAGAGGTGCTTGCTCAAACAACCTGCGGTCCCGCGATGCGGAGCCCAGCATCGCAGATGCTGGTATGTGATGTGACACTGACCATGTAATCCAGTTTGAATTATAATCAGAGGTCAAGCAGTATAGGTATGCTATCCGTCACTTTCTGGCAGACATCCAACTAGCCCATCGCGCTGCATTGCGATTCTTTTCTTCTCGGCATAATTTCATGGCTGGGTTAGTCACATGCCACCGGTCTGCGGTTCCACTGAAGGTCGTCGCGATCGGTTTGACACTGACCTAGTCTTTCTGTGCCAATCCGAGCTTAAGTTTGACGATATCCGTGTGGGAGAGCTAGTACAAACAGATGTTTCTCTCATGCTGCTTTGCTCATGTCTGTTCGGAAGTACCCACACAAACACACACCATCGCCTGCTTCTCCGTGCCGTCGCGGCGGGTTCGAATCCCCTCCCTTCTCACCTTTGAAGGCGGGCGCGTAGTGCTTGTAGAGTGTGATGGGAGCCATGGCACTGAACTGGCCGATAGTGAGCTCCAGCAGGAAGATCGGGACGCCCAGGCAGAACAGCATGATGGCGTAGGGGATGAGGAAGGCCCCGCCGCCGTTCTGGTAGCACAGGTACGGAAACCGCCACACGTTCCCCAGACCTGTAACAGGTTAAATGAGGCAAAACGTCACTAAGTGGGGCAGTTACAACATACGAGTGTAGTCGTTAGAACGATGCCAAGGTTTTGTTTCCTCTTCGTGACAACTGTGTACTATCCCGTTTGAAAAAATCTGTTAAATCGGCAAACAACTTCAACTTCATTTGTTGAACACAGGTTTTATGCGTGATGACATCGGTATGACTGGACCTCAGTCGTTTACTCACCGACGGCATATCCGAGACAGGAGAGGAGGAAGTCGAGCTTGCCGGTCCAGTTGCCTCGCTCGGGGTTCTCGTCGCCCTCAAACAGGTGTTCAACGGACGAGTTGGGTACCGGTGGCCGGCCCGCCTGCGAACAGATTACGGACTGTCAGTCAGATTTCTCCGGCCGCCGATACTGGGGACATGAGGAGCTATAGGGACTGCTGGCCGAACCGCCCCTGCAGAACATGCTCGTACCCAGGATCAGATCTCTCACTGTCGCCAGTGGGGAACGATGAACCGAAACCTTGGTGACCTGTGTAGGAAAATGTAGGAATTCTGGAGAAGCTGTTGTACTGAACATTAATATGCAATACTGAGTCGCGCAATATGCATACCTACTAGGTGCGTTCAATAAGTAAGTTCCGGAGAGCAATTACATAAAATTCACGCGGTCTACGCACGTGATTTTTTCAGGGATTAGAATTCAGACCTTTATGTCGAAGTGACCGCATTTTCAGCTTCTTATTCCATTTCTGTGACGATATGGAGCAGATCAAATAACATCATTTTTTAAGACTGCTTTAGAAATGGCATCGGCCACCCGAGAGGATCAACGTTCAGTGATACGATTCCTAGCTATCCAGGGCTAGCCGGCGGCTAACATCAACGCCAACTTCGTGAATGTGTACGGGAGCCATGCTCTTAGTGATTCCGCAGTTCGGAAGCGGAAGAAAAAGTTTGGGGAGGGGAGGGAGAGCGTGCTCGACCTGGCACGTGCAGGCAGGCTGAGGACGATGGTCACAGCCACTGACGTCGCCAAAGTGGAGGAGGTGGTGATGGCCAACAGAAAGATTACTGTCCAGGCGATAACAGAAAGCCTTATAAGCCTACGCCAGGATCATTAGAGACCATCTCCTGCCAGTATTCGCCAGTTGCCGCCCCGAGAAGGCCCGTGGTCGGTTCATCCTCCACCAGGATTGCGCGCCTCCTCACCGTGCCCTCGTGGCGAGGGATGCCCTGCAGGCGGAGGGCATCGAGGTGCTCTAACACCATCCCTACTCTCCAAGTCCAGACGTTGCACGCAGTGACTATTGGCTGTTCGCAGACATGAATAAAAATCTCCGGGGCCGGAGGTTCGGCTCGCGGTCTGCACTCGGGTCTGCTTTTTACCAGTATGGCGAAAAGACCCTCACTCAAAGCTTCCGTGCGGCCATCCGGGACCTGGCCAAGCGATGGGAACGATGCGTTCGCCTGCAGGGCGAGTTCGTCGAGCCGTGAGCCATGTTTGGTTGAGATGTGCCAAAAAATAAACGAGTTATATCAAAACGGAACTTACTTATTGAACATACTGGTACACAACCAATGAAGATGGTTTAAGGGTGACGTGTAACGCAGGATGAAGTACAAAAGACCTTCCACACTTTTCAAGGTCGGTATTGATCACAGAACTTAATTTATTTTGCGCATGCATGGCCGTCGCTATAACTTCTGATTTTTTTCCTGAGCGATTGATCCAGCAGGAGGTGGTTACGGCGACCGCTCGAGAACAGAAGAGGTCTGTTTCTTTGGTCTGGGTCAGGGAGCACATCAGACCACACCGTTCATGTACAACGAGTGTTTTTTAGATCGTGCAGAGAAACGTCCGCTGGACTCGTAGTGCTGGAACTTCTGCGGTTAGATCAAGGACGTCTTCTTTGCAGAATGTGAGGACCGGTCTATTTATCCGCTTCACTTTGAGGTATGTGGATAGTGGATACCTATATACTGGTATTGACAGGTTAATCGAAAACCATCTCCTTGCTAACTTTTGTAGCTAAAGGAAGCTCTAATCTGAATACATAGGTAGGTACTAAATCCAGACCGTACTCGTATGTGTCTCACTTTAAATGGAATTGTAAAAGGGCCCTTAATACAGTGAATTTTACAAGCAGGTTTCAGGTAAATGATTATCCTGATAAACCCAGCGCCAGTTCGTCATAGCGTAGGTAAAGCTTATTTGTGGAGTCATGAGTTTATTTTCATTGGTTGATCGTTTATTCGTGTTTGACGAAGAAAAACATCATCATCGTTGGAAAGCCATACCCAAGGCTATATGCCATACCCCTACGGCGCACACATATCGCTGATATCGCATCCACTCATATTGCATGGGCCGCATCGCTTTCCATAGCGACAAAAGAAGTTCTTAGTCACCGTCACGTGAGGTCGTACAATGGACCGTCGGAATCAATCAGGCACGATCATACGGCACACTTATAATAAAACGGATGCTTGGCGTTTCAATAGAAGACGCTAGGGGTTCAAAGACGGTCGGGTTTTCCTCGTTCACCACGAGGAAGGTGGTTTTGTACAGTCATCGGCGCTCTCTCATTAGACCCGCCGCGCTGTGCCGGGTCGCTCGGTCAGACACCTGGCACAGGGCGCCGCTGAATGCGCCACAATCGCCGCCGCCGGCCGCGCCGCGCCACAGACGCCGCAGCGTCACTGCGCCGAGCGGCGAGTTTCTCTCCTCGACGGTGGAGTTTTTCACCGGAGCAAAACAGCCGTGCCGGCGCTAACTGAGCGGCCACGGTGACTGGTGCGGTGGTGGCGGGGCTTGCACTCCCCGGGGCTTGCACGGAGCGGTGCAAGAACAAGGTTCAGTGAGTCATCCATGTTGTGACTATCAAATCATCTGTTTTGCATAGGGATGTCGGAGCATTTCAAATGGCAAATCAGAATGTCGTTTCCCCAAGGTGAACAATCAAATAATCGATCATTCTTCTGTAATAACTAATACTGGTCAGTGGTCACCAGAATGGTTAGGCTTATGCTTGGATGCACCGGCCGGGACATGATGCGTGATCTTGGAACGGCATCGACCCTGAGTGTAACGCCGAGCCGGGGAGCGTCCCATGCAAGGGGCGGTCCCAGATACACCAAAACACCTACTGATGAACAGTGGATGCACGTCGTTGTCTCTTGTCTTATGGTGGAAGAAACCATGCGGTGACTATACATAGAAGAAACAAAGTCCTGCAGCACGACATAATTCAAGGAAGAAGTCATCGTGTTGCGACAGATGATATTTTCTGAAATTGCGGTGCATTGAGCTGCGTGCTTGCTCTAACCTCTCGAATCCACTGTGCGGTTGAACGCACCCATTGCTGGGCACCGCCGGAGCCGCCGGTGGCGCCGGCCGGCCGCCAATGACGTGCACTCTGCACTCATGGGTCGTCGGCACTGCGAGCTGAGGCCATGACCGCTCCGTCCGGGTCGCTGGGCCGCGCTGGGCTGCCACTGAGGGCCGGCGTCACGCAGCAGCTACTCACGTCCACCGTGCGTGACGTGACGCCGCGTGACGAGGCGCATCGGACGCCTGACCAAAGAGTGTAGGTGCTGAGCTGTGACCCGACCCGACCGACCGGTGTGAGCGACATGGTCAGAGGTGAAACTGGGCAGGGTGGTTGCTGGTGGTCTATTGGAAAACTTTGTCTGCCACCAACTACCTGCCGAGGGATCAGGGGCGAGACTGTAAGCCTAAATGTACCGTTGCTCACTGGCGGTCGCAGCCGCTAGCAAAAGGGGGGGGGGGCCAAAGTCACACTCGCGGGACATAACATTCATCCGTCACCGGGAGGGTGGGGGGGGGGGGGGGTGATCGGCTAATTTTTTACGTCCACGAGGCGCCACACAGTTGGCATTACTTATGCTTCATCCATCTCATTCTTGCGTGAAATCTTTGAGCTCAATTTCAGGCAAAATCACCAGTTCCATTTACCGTCTCACGGTGTGCCCACCGTTCGGGCCGCTGCACCGTCCATGACGACGGATCGGTGTAGCATAGGTATACGGGAAGGTCAGGCACGCGGATTCATGACCTTACCACTATAAAACAATTCGGAAAAGTACAGATACATCTTGCTAAAAAGTACAAATACCTCTTGCTTTGAACAAGCATGTGAAACCCAGAGAGCATTTTTAGACTATGATATTTACCCATATAGCCCTCGCCCGCACATGGGGGGGGGGGGTGGTTGCCACCCCACCCCCCCAGGCAGACTTTCTGCTCTGCACTCAACATTTTTAGAGATAGAAGGCTGATTTTTCGTATAGCTGCTCCTCTATCCTTTCTTGATGTCCACTGAAAATTTCAAGTTTCTGTGATTTTTGGTTTCGGAGATATGACCTTGTTTTTCAGGTCATGTCATGACCCAAATGGCCAATTCTCAACATCTTGCGTTTGCCATGGGCCTTGTGAGCTTTTGACACCCTGATTTCGGCCTTTTTTGCCAGTCTTACCTCCCACCTATCATGGAACATGTTGTTCGACGATGTACAGGGGTCAAGGTCAAGGTCAAGGTCAACCTAGGTCATCTAAGATAATTGCGTTTTAGGCAAGCTGAATTTACTTTTTGTGAAGTTTTTTGACTGCATTTTTGGTAAAAGCTTCTGAGATCATGATTTCATGTGATATGGACCCAAAAACAATCGGTGCACACATCAGTATACACACAGACACACACAGACATACAAACACATATAATTGACCTTGACCTAACTTGACCTGAAATGACCTCAGCAGCAAAATTCTGGTCGGATAGTGTGACAAAGAGTTTCTAGCTGGCTTGGCACCAGAAAACAGCATCGTCATCGGTATTTGATAAGCAGCGCACTTGATATCCAACGGTGACCCAAAACAGCAACATTTTTTAGTTTGACCTGACCTGGAAGGTCAATGACTGACCTGAGGAGGTAAAACTGGGTATCATTGGATTCGTCTCTTCCCAAAGAATCTTTTTGGTCTTTACTGCTAAGCTCTATCTGCAACAGGAACGAAATGGCGCGGGGGGTGGCAACCCCCATGTGCGTTCTAGGATGGGAAAATGGCATGTGCGGGCGAGGGATAGGTACACTCGGGGGCAGATTGATGTTCCACCACTCCCTACCCATCGGGCGATCCCATGGCTCAGCACTGGCTGCTGCCAGTGTTGCCTGCCCTCAGCACTGCTCAGCACTGCCTGCCAGTGCCAGTGCTGTCAGTGCTGCCACTGGCAGCAGCCAGTGCTGAGCCATGGGAGACCGATGGGTAGGGAGTGGTGGAACATCAATCTGCCCCCGAGTGTACCTACTATGGACGTCAAACCCCTTGAGACCCCACTTTTT